CCACTCGTAGAGAACTGCAGAAGTGAATACTCAAACAATTTTCTATTCAATATATTTCGCATTGACAAATAAAAAGTTGATAAAATACAAAAGGGACGTGAATAAGTGACCCTCATAATTTTTACGGTGAGGATTCGTGCAAAATTATATGAAAGTGCTACTTAACATATTACCATTGTCTCGAGCGTAGCCTCCACTTGGTTCACGACATGTTTGCAGTGCGTGAAAAACGACACTTGTTGATTACTCCACCTTTTCACTCTGACGCTCAACTATCCAAAATCATCAACAAATGCACAACTCATGAATGCTACGAGCTTCAAAATTAGTAAGTTATGCACGAAAATACGAATAAGCCCAAAAAATGTGACAACCGACTGGAAAATTCTACAAGTGGTTCGCTCAAATGAAAACTAAAAGAAAAAGAAGCTGAAACCGCTGATTGTAAATGTTACTCGCAACCCTGCTTGTTGTGTATTCAGGCAGTGCCCCTGCTGCATCGGCACTCTCAATGTTTACAAGCCGAGCAATCACCAGATAATTCATGTACCCGATAAAACTCTCAAGGCATCTTCAACCTATGCATCCACGGAAAGATAGAGGAATGCTGATGGAAGGAGAATTGACACTTCTCTCTGAAATTACGACAAGCGGATGCTACGTTTCAGCCCTCTCACACTTTGAGACGAACTTTCTTGCGCTGATTTATTTCTTATTCTAATAAGTGTTCTACAATAAAGTCAACAAAATTTTATTAGTTCACTATGCCTTTATATAACTAGTTCTTTAGGCTGACCTTAAAATGTCTCCTGTTTCATCTGCTGTCAGCCGTTATGAAAAAGAAAAAAAAGCCTTGTTTCCTGTAGTTCTCATATTCATATTGTTTCCTACGTAAAAATGTATTCCTGAAAAAAACGTCTCTTTTTTTCATGCCCAGTGTCTTGTATCAGTATCAACGTTCCTCAATTTCATTCAGTTGTGTCATCATCTCTCTCATCAATCTGCTGTCCCGTATAAAGGGATAGCAGCTAACTCGTTTAGCTGCTTATCCGGGCTGTGTACAAGCTCCTTTCTTTTCACCGAAAAAAAATCTACATGCGTCCTGATTCTCTCGTTGAATTCGTATGCTCTGCGCATCTGTATTTCAACAGCGTCGTCACGTACCGAAAAAAATGCTCCTCCGCCTACATGGTGTCTTGGCAGTTTCTCTGCCATATATTCATCGACTGCTGTTGTTGCTTCTGCTTGCTTTACCGAGGCTGCTGTAGCCTGATCGAATTGAGACGAATGCGTATCCAGGATTCGTGTTATCTGAGTTTCAGCGTGTACAATAGCCGCTTGGTTTCGTGTATCTGCTTTCTTCTTTCTTATTCAATGAGTCACTTTTTTTTCTTTGACGTACAGTGTGAAAATGCTTGTTGATTAGGCTGTTACGTTTCTCTTTTCTTTTTTGCTACCCAAGACGCATCGATTTTTGTACTTCACCGCACCCCTCTTTTACTTTTCTCTCTCTGTCTTTCTCGAAGCATATGTATGGTCCCACGATACGGCCTTCGTTTATTGGCCTCCTCCTTCCAACATCGTGTTCTCTCCTTTCTCCTGACGGGAGCCCTTCTACAGACAAGGCTATATGTACACGCCATCTTAAGATGGAGTTTTCCATCTGGAGACATGAAACAACGTGAGGTATTAATACTGCAGCATTTATGGCAGCTATCGGGCGCGTCTCAATGTATTTTCGTTGCTTGAAACGGGGGCATGTTGAAGAAAAGGAGCTTGGCTTGGTCTTCTCGGGAAGTGATCTATTATTAAGGTAACTTGATAAAGCTCTCGTCCTTCAAGAAACGCTGAACAAGGCCAGCGATGCTTTTGTTACGGGCTATTGTTTTTTCACGCCATCGCAGGCTTCACGATGTTTCAATATATATGTTAAAAAAATAGTAGTGTAGTTGTCTGAATTATTCTTTGTTATAACTGAATCAGCCAGCGTTCGTGTTACTGTTTGCACACTGTGAAAAACGAAAACATTCAAAAAGTTTCCCTTCGCAGACCCTGATGAAACAGCGAAACTGATGGAGTTGCCTTCATTAGGCTAACGCATTTCTATGTTTTGCAATTCTTTCCGATATGTTGTGTCCCTGCTTTTTATTAGACGTTCTGACAAGCTTTGAGGTGGTAGTGTAGTTCTGTTGCATCTTAACCCTGCATTACTGTTATACAAATGTTTACAAAAAGGCACTCGTTCAAGATGCCCCAATATGTTTTGTCACAGCACTTAATCAAACACTCTTGGCTAAGCTCTGAGGGCGTAGTATAGCCATCCCCTTTTATAAACACAAATTGTTACGTGAGAGGGGGGTCACTGTGTCAATGGGCACACCATCGGTTGGGTTAGCTGCTGCCCTCTTCCCTTTTAGGGGAAGTCGTGCGTAGTAGAATTCACCCAACTCATGTGCCACCTACGCATTTATTATTATTATGATGACAGTTTTTGGATAGGCCGCACAGATTTTCGTGGTACGTCCCCATTAATTGAGCTCACTGTTGCCCTTAAATTTAGTGGCTGAGTAGTGAGACATACCTAATCACTGTGGTGCATACCCCCTTTTTTTTATGCCCACAAGCACAACCCCGGAACCCGGGCTAGAGGGCCTTCATGTCGTAGGCGCCATGCACATTGAGTACTCCCTGCCCCGTACTTGATAGGCTCAAATCTCAAAACTCGCAAACAAAAGAAGGCATGGTGGGTGGCCGACCGCTGTCTGTGCCTATACTTGAATTTGGATGGTGCAGCTTTCCAGAAACGCATGGTAAAGAAGCACCCGCAGCGTCCCGTGGAATGGTTGCGATATGCACGTTGAAGACCTGATTTACCAATGCTCCCACTCTATAGCATAAATCTGCCGGTTGCTGAAAATTACACTACTTGTGCAGGTCACATCGATCTATGTATTCGAAGTATATACGGCTGTCTCGTAGTGAAATTGACTGCGTGGCGTAATCTCACGTGGTCGGAGTGCAGTATGTTAAGAAATTTAAAATTTAAAACGACGCTAGAACAGGGAACGTAATAAATGCCGACTAACGACTTATCGTGTGATTTCTATGCTGTGTGTCGTTTTATAGAAGACTGCTTTAGTAGGTACCAACAGGTCTGCATTACTATACCCCTCAAATTCAAGAATATTTTATCGCCAATCGATGTAGCTGCGATGCTTCAACACGAAAAATTCATGACGTGACAGAAGTGACAAAATAATCACAGTTGTTTATGTATACCTCAGTTACTTTCAAAGAATCAACAACAATTTCTCGACACACCTTTTAACGTAACAGGATAAGCAACCCATTTCGCAAAAAAAAAAAAAATCTGTCATCGGCGTCATCTTCAGTGTCGGTGTCGTTAGTTGGGAGCAAAAAAATCATTTTAAAAAGTTAGAAAATCAAAAATAAATGAAAATCTTCTGTTCGAGTGAGAAATGAAGCCAGGCTGCCTGTGTATCAAGTAAGCGCTCTACTACATAGTCATGCTATTGCTTGAAACTACTGCAAAAAAACGAAACGATATATAAATGTGATGTAGTAGAGGGAGTCTCCTTAAAGCATGTAATATTGTGCTGCAGAAAAGCAGAATCGCGCAAGGTGTGCAACCTTGTAAATTGCGCGAAGAGCGTGTGTTCCAGACCACCCATTACAAGGCGCTCATCATCAGCTCCGAAAACATCAATTATGGTAGCAGCTTCATCAGCTCGTGTATTACTTTACTGAAGCTTAGTGGGCCCCTTCGCTGATTCGCAAAAGGAAGACATGACGTAGTGGGCACGTACATTGCGGTATATAGGCCTTCTGTGGTGGTCTGGAACGGCCCATGTTGCACCAGTAGTCACTCGTTTCTTTGCAGCAGGGTTAAGGCACGCACCGAGAACAACAGCCGGTCTAGCACTCGAGCAGGCGATTACGAAATCGCGTTCCGCTCTTGAAGGTGAAATTCAAGAATCCCCCTAGGTCGTTTTTTTTTCTCGTGGCATTACTTTTGTAGTATTCAGTACTGCCGAAATATCTTGTTTGATTGATTGATTGATTGATTGATTGATTGATTGATTGATTGATTGATTGATTCATCCAGCTGTGTTTATCATTCTTTTGGTATTTACGAGTGCCTACGCTGGTTATTGCATTGCCTTTATCACTTTCCTCTTTCACAAACATTTTTTCTTCCTTATGGTATTCTTTCTTATTTTTGTTGAGCTTGTTTTGTTTCGTCTGAAACCAAATTTACCTTTGTGCTGATCTCCTGCTTTTTTTTTCTTTTTTCTTTCCACTTTCTCATTGAACCCGACTTCCTTTTTCTAGAATTCGTCTCGTGTGAGCTATTCTAGACACATTCGCGTGCACAACTCAGATAGAAAAAAGCAGCCGGCAAGTCGACCTCCAAATTTCGCTCAGTGCACCTATCCCACCAATGCATTGCTGGTGCATTCGCTGGTCCGCTTGCCTATCTTGCTCTCTTTCGAATGCTCTTTAGTGTAGTCTACTTGCCCAAGACTAACTCAATTGAAACGATAACGCATCCTGCCAAAATTCTGTTCGAACATCAAGTGTGAGAGTGTGGTGTCGGCAGGGTAAAAGGTGCCCTTTCTTCAAATTAGGCGTGCCATAAAAAAACACGAAAAAGATTTGCTACCGCACGCATTCTGCCCTGCTTAGTACGAGGCCATTTGTGGTCCCGTAAGCTTTAACCCGACTTTATGCCCCCTAAGTGCATTCAGGCGATATCGACTCGTTCAATTGGCTTTTCTTTCTGTACCAGGCCGGCCAACAATATACTAACAAAATCCAAGTACGACCAACAGCATACGAAAAGAGAAGGCGAAAGAAGCCGGTTTTCTTTTCTATACATAATCTCTTTTTTCTTGATATAAGTTGACTCGTAATAGCTTTTATTATGCAAAACATTGTAGTAAAAACATGTGCACCCATTTGGACAAGTTCGGCAGCAGTGCGTCAACAGTGCACATACTAATCGGCATCTTCTCATCTCGCAGTGGGACGATTATCTTTGAAGCACGATCACCGTCCGCACCAGGAAGGTGACATCGCCCGGTGCTGCTGCTCTACACCTGACAAGGAACGTCGCATGCGCAAGCGTCAGCGACACCTGACAAGGAACGTCGCGTGCGCAAGCGTCAGCGACACCTACAGCACCTATTTAAACCGCTGTGACATTGACTGGCGACTTTGTTCGGCAGCAGTGCGTCAACAGTGCACATACTAATCGGCATCTTCTCATCTCGCAGTGGGACGATTATCTTTGAAGCACGATCACCGTCCGCACCAGGAAGGTGACATCGCCCGGTGCTGCTGCTCTACACCTGACAAGGAACGTCGCATGCGCAAGCGTCAGCGACACCTGACAAGGAACGTCGCGTGCGCAAGCGTCAGCGACACCTACAGCACCTATTTAAACCGCTGTGACATTGACTGGCGACTTTGTTCGGCAGCAGTGCGTCAACAGTGCACATACTAATCGGCATCTTCTCATCTCGCAGGTAAGCACAAGATTTTGTGCTCCTAAGTCCATAGTACCTTCTTGTTTTCTTGCACTGCTGCCGAGCAGAGTTCTTGTGTCACTTGCATTCGTTTTCTTTCAACATTGTGTTTCCATGTTCTTGCTGTCTGTGGCCATCTCGAAATGACTGGCCGCAACACGCGAAAAACGGGTAAAGAGGACACTGACGATAAACTTAGCGATAGCATGACAATGCAACAGGGGATTGATAGCCTTAGAAAGGAGGTGATGTCAGAACTTCGCTCACTGAAACAGAGCGTTCAGTACTGTAGCGAGTCTTGTGACAGCGTGACTGAGATGGGCAAAGACATAAAAGAGCTCATAAATGAGATAAAAGAGCTAAAGTTAAGCAATCGGAAACTAAAGGAAGAGAACGAGAGGTTGACTGCGCGAGTCGATGAATTGGAGCAATATACTCGCTCCAATAATGTAGAGATTAAGGGAGTTCCGGTAGAACCAGATGTGATTGACGTGGTCTCGAAGATGGGTCAGCTCATTGGTGAATCGGTATCGAAAGACGATATTGACATCTGTCACCGCGTCTTCACGACTAAGCACAGCGAACCAAACATAATTGTGCGCTTTGTCCGTCGTGAGAAGCGAAATTCTTTTCTGGCGAAGGCCAGGAAGACTCGCCAAACGGGCACATTGCTTGGTTGTAGTTCTACAAAACCTGTGTTTGTTAATGAGCACCTGACACGTCAGAATAAGCAACTTCTCGGTGCTGCTGTAGCTAGGAAGAGGGTGGCAGGCTGGCGATATGTCTGGACAAAGGATGGACGAATTTTTGCTCGTCGAGACGAAAACTCTGCCGTTCTGCGCTTAAATTCCGCAAGCGACTTGGAGAAGATGACGCAGTCAGCCGACGCGTCATAATTATGAGACTGTTGCCTACGTGGCCCTTTTTTCTTTTTTTCTTGTAGATTACTGCCGTCATGGCTGTAAAACCTTCTTCACTTAAACACCTACCTGGATATGATCACTTGTCTTTTCTGCATGTGAATGCGCGATCGCTGGAATCCAAACATGACGAATTCGAACTATTTCTTGCTAGCACGGGCGTACCGTTTGATATCATCATGGTATCTGAAACGTGGTACACAAAGTATTCCGTGCCGTTCGCCCAACCAGGCTACCAAGGCTTTGCTTTAAACCGCTCTCAACGTAAAGGAGGGGGCGTGCTGTTGTTGGCTAAGGCTGAGCTAAACGTGAGCATCATTGACGAATTCTCCGTTTCAAATGCTAACTTCGAAGTTCTAAGTGTGCGTAGTCGATCCAATATCTTTTGTGTCGTCTACCGCCCACCTGACGCCAATATACACACCTTTTTCTGTTTTCTTGAAGAATATTTTGACTTCATTCGTTCCAACAAATATTCTCTTTTTCTTGCCGGTGATTTCAATATAGACATGCTAAAAACCTCAAGAGATCAGATCGAACTGTCAGCTTTACTGCAGTCAAACGGGTTTGTAAACACTATTGTAAATTCTACCCGCATTACTCATTCGTCAAATACCCTTATCGATCTATTCATCACTAACACCGACAGAAAAAACCTTTGTAGCGGTTCGATTGCAAGCGATATGAGTGACCATCTTCCCATCTTTACTTTCATCGAAAATGAAGTGCCAACTAAGCGGATTATCGATCCGCCTCAGCGTTTCCAAGATATAAACAGTGCATCTCTGGACGCTTTCCGTAACGAGGTTGAAGCCCACGACTGGCGTCAAGTTTTTAGAAAACATGACTCAAATTCCATGTACGAGACCTTTATTGCTGAACTGAGGACACTGTACAATAAGCACTTCCCATACGTTGTCAGGCATAGAAGTAATAAATCGCGAAAACCATGGCTAACCAATTACCTTCGCAGCCAAATCAAGGTAAAAAATAACCTTTATTGGGATTTCATCAGGACCAGAAACCCTGAAACATGGAAAAAATTTAAATCTTTCCGAAATCGTTTGAATGCTACGCTAAAGAAAGCAAAGGAAGAATATTTTTTCAAGCATTTCTCTGTCGCGGCAAACACTGAGCTGTTGTGGAAACGACTAAACGCCATAGTTCATCCTAAGACTGACCGTGCGATTTCGAGCCTGTGTGTAAACGGTCTCATGAAGTGCGGTTCAGATTTGTCAAACGCACTCAATGACCATTTCATTGCGGTAGGCCAGTCAGGCGCTTGCAACGTAAATCCATATCCCATTCAAGGTACCAGTTCGCCCTACTCCAGTATGGTATTTTTCCCAACAACTGAGAGTGAAGTTGTCGGTATATTTAGGAGCTTAAAAACTTCTAGATCACTGGATGCAAACGACATGCAAATCCGCCCTATAAAGCACATCATCGACATTATTGCTCCTATTCTGACAACACTGTACAATTTAGTGCTTGAAAGTAGCTGTTTTCCAGAAAAAATGCAAACAGCAAGGGTAATTGCCATACACAAGGGGGGCGATGAAAATGATTTGGGAAATTTTAGACCAATTTCTATACTCCCAATCTTATCTAAAGGCCTGGAAAAGATTATTCACGCACGACTTGTTCGCTTCCTGAATAAACACTCTTTCATTTCATTGGCCCAGTACGGGTTCTTGAAAGGAAAATCCACAGAACAAGCACTACTTGCTCAAAAAGAATGTATAATAGATGCCTTTGAAGATAAAAATATAGTACTAGGTGTATACATCGACTTCTCAAAAGCTTTTGATTGTGTGCAACATAACCTACTACTGTATAAGCTAGAACACTATGGCGTGCGTGGGAGGTCCAATGACCTTCTGCGTTCATACCTTCGCCATAGAAGTCAATTTGTCACAAATGACACTTTCGATTCAAAGACTAAACGCCTGAAGTCCGGGGTGCCCCAGGGCAGTATACTCGGCCCGCTCCTATTCATCGTCTACATAAACGACATTTTTTCCTCTTTTACTAATTGTAAGTGGGTAGGTTACGCCGATGATACAGCCCTTTTTTTCAGCGGAGTAAAGCCGGACGGGTTGGTATCTTTAGCTAATGATGCGCTTGCAGAAGTATCAGCGTGGTCAAAAAGAAATTCCTTGAAAATTAACACAAAAAAGACTCAAGCCATAATTTTCCGCACTAGAAACAGAGTTATTGAACTGACAAAAAAGTTGTATCTTGATAATGACGAAATTAGTGTTGTTAGAGAGATCAAAGCTTTGGGTGTCACTTTCACAGAAACATTGTCGTGGAATAAGCATGTGCAAAATGTTTGCAACAAGTTAAACTCCGTCACTGCATTAATTAATAAAAACCGTCAAATATTACCAGTAAAAGCTAAACGTCTGATATATAATGGATTATTTTTATCGACATTAAATTATTGTCATCTTGTATGGGGTACTACATCCTCTGACAACTTGAAAAAACTCGGTATATGCCAAAAGCGCGCAATTCGTGCAATAGCCAACGTTCCGTATGCTACTCATACTGCCCCTTATTTTGAAGCATATAATATACTCAAAGTTAAATTCGTCTACGCATTCCGTCTTTCCTGTACATACCGTCTCGCCATGAGGACTAATAACACCGAATTCATCAGTTCGTTTCGCCTAGCAAGACGTCACTATACATACGACACAAGAAGTCAGGATGACTGGATCCAGCCAATATGCCGCACAAACTATGGCAATCAGTCTGTATCGTATCAACTAGCCGTAATCTTAAACAAATATGCAAAACATGGCATAGCCACTGAGTCGGCCTCAGCACGCACCTTTCGCTCATTCTTATCGGGTGAAGCTTAGACTTCGTTTCACACTAACATCTAGTCGTATTCATCAGTCGCAGAATGATACGCACGGTTCATCTGTTTGTACATGGCGTTTTTTTTTTCTCTTTTTGTCTGTGTGCGTTTGGCTTGCTCATTCTCTTTCGGAAATTGTTTACTTTTTTTTTTTGTTTTTTTTTTTGCATACGAATTTTTTTGTACTGTGCGTTGAAATTGTAATCTTCTTTTCACCAATAGGACTTATTATCATGGTCCACATAATAAACCGAGGCTATAACATTTCTCATACTAGAGAAATGTGCTCAGTGTTGGTAACTATTACCTGTTTTAGATTTCGTTCAAATGACTGTTACGTTCATGTCGTTTACCAATGACAACGGCATGTTTTTTAACGTTTTTTTATGTTCTCAGTGTAATACTGATTTATTGCCTTTGCAGTTTTTTTGTTGGATTATTTATCAACTTCTGTTGTACACGTAATCATTACCTACAGCTGTTCGTGTTTTTCTTTTTTGTCCTTTTTTCCATAAGTCTTATGAATGTGTATTACTATGTATAATGATGTATAAAGACCAAGTCCTCCCATGTTTCTCCTAGAAATCGCTACATTTGCCTCTTCCTGTCAATGTGCATTCAAATCAAATGTTTTATTTTCCAGCAAAATCAATTTTTGTGTGGTTGATCATTGTTACTGCTGGACTTTGTAGGGGGCCGGAGCTTTGTCAAGCCGCAGTACTGCGGCTTTTTTTCCGTCACCCCCATATTTCTCTATGAGAAATAAAAGTTGATTGATTGATTGATTGATTGAATTGCCCATAGCGGGGAAACACCATTAAAGAGGATAGCCGTACGTGTGGTCCATTCGAAGTCGACTGCAGGAAACAGCCCCATTTCGAAGTTCGTGTTGAAAACGACTTTTAAAAACTAAATCGGGAGTGCTTACCTTATGGAAAAATCGAGACAAGCGACTCTTCATGTGCGCAAGAATAGGAATCATAAAGGGTAGTCTTTTTTTTCTTTTGCTGAGACCAACGTAGGTTACAACTAACAAAGGAGAAAGCCGAGGAAAGTGTGGGGATATTATTTGTGGAAATAGTGAAGTGGACGAAAAGGTAAATTGCCGTGTGACTGTGACACATGCGTAATAACATGGGCGTGCCAAACATGCCACGTTTATTTATTTATTTATTTATTTATTTATTTATTTATTTATTTATTCTTTTTTCTTTTAGATTCTTGCTTTCTCTCTTTCTATTGCATGCCACAACGCGCATTACTAGCTGTTTTCCTCCTCCATGCTGGAAATGGGACCTTAACTAGACAATCAGCAGCCCAGTATCTACACGCAACAACCATGGTCATGCATTCATATCCAAGGTGTAATCATACAATGAAATGCGTCCACGTGAAATGACAAATAACCTCATTCAAAAAATCAGATTACCCTATCAGAAACAACTGATAGCCGACAAGCCCATCGATTATTGGAAAACCGCGCACGCAAAGACCAAGGCATTTGACTGGTGCATCCGCGGGGACTGCATTTCTGTGCGCTAGCCGGTGCCTGTTCTTTCACGTATGATGCCGCCTCAAAGATTTCTGATATACAAGAGCCTTCGATCGCGAAAGAAACGAAAAAAGAGATGAGGTGCCTGGAATGCAGTGTAGCCCTTTGTTTGGGCTTTGACCTAGTGACCTGGTTGAAAAGCTGGGCCGCCTCCAATTTTTCGCATCGCGAACGCTCATTCTTTATAACTTTCTGTTCGTGCGCCGGTGGTAACTTCTGTATTGCTACTTTCCTACGAACGTTTTTTTTTTTATCCTAACTGCTCCCTGAGTACACAAAAACAAAGAAGGTATTGCAATACTTGTCCACTCATAGACTCGTGTATGTATGCGTCACAAAAGTTACACTCTACACAAATGACTCCAGTATGTATATTGGTGCTATATTGCACTGCACACGTACAATACGCAGGTTTCTGTTCAGTATCTTACACTAGTGTCATTAGTCATTATATTTCATTCGTCCCTCGTGTAATTTTCTTCGAACAACTTATCATATCGGTCGAACCACTGTGTGCGTTTGACTGCCAGATTAAACCGTTTTTTTTTCTTCCTAGCGCCGGGAAACCATCTCCGTATGCCACCAACTTTGTGTGCCATGTTTGTTTATTAGTGCATCCTAAATCGCCTAAGAGGGTATTACTTTAGGGTGGGCAGAAAAAAAAACACAGTTGTGCAATCTAAGAAGACACGCATTTGCGCAGCAGTGGCTGCGCATTCTCGAAAAGCGCACATATTGTGGTGACGAAGGAAAAAGCAATGACTGGAAGATCAGCAACACACGCATCCAACTTATAACATTCACGAATACTAAAAACCATACAGAATTAGCAATGACATCGGTACGACAGCTGACCTCACGTTTTTTTTTTTTTTTTTTTTAGTGATGATTTCTGTGTGACACGTAGTGTGGGCTCATCGTGTATAAACTTTTGTGAATGCGAATTTCATCACAAAAGATCGAATGGAGAAACCTAAATTGCTAAAATTTGCTGCGGTACTCAAGAAGATTCCATCTTAAGTCACAATGATTGCAGGTTATACTGAAGGTAAAATATAATTATCACTGACAAAGCGTTCAGCAAGGTTTTGTATGCGTTAAAGTTTATGTATATATTAGGGTTCCACCATGAGGATCCCACACTGCATGGTAATATTGGTCGGACATTCGGAACATACAAATGTTCATTCAGATTTTGGCGCGGAGACATAAAATTGCATTTAATAAAGTTTAGCACGTTGACTATGCCAGTTATGGAACGTATATGCGTATTAGAAGACAAATCGTCAGATAAGTATACACCAAAGCATTTGAAAAATTTAACACGGCTTAGTTGTGCTCCTGACAAAATATAGGTGAATGAAAGCCTATCAAAAAAGAAACTAAATCATTTTAACGCTACAGCGTTAAAGACCTCGTTTCGCACAAGTTCCAGCGTCGACATCGACGTCGTTATGAGTGAGAAATCACAATCTTGTCCGTGACTAAGAAAGCGAGAAAGATGTAAATTAGCTTAGTAAAAATAATAATAATATCCTGGCCCGAGTGAGGATCAAACCGAGGCCACCTGCAAGGCAAGTAAGTGTTCTAGTCACAATACTTGTGGAAATTTCTCTGGAAAGAAACGCTACACGAATACGACGCGGTGGAAGGGGTGTCTAACGCGCCATGCGTTGTGTGACAGAAGCGTGGAATGGCGCCAGGCGTCAAAAGATGTGAATCGAGCAACGAGTGGGTGTGCTAAAGGTAGTGGCCATACAAGCGCTTATCAATATTAGGGGCGAAGCTCCTTAAGGCTTCTGGTTCTGTGACATTCTTCTTGATAGTTATGTTGTTGTAGTAGGTAGCCCCTTCTAGTTTAGTTATTGCAGCTCTTCACTAGATGGCGGTTACTTCTACTGATGAGTACCTAATGG